CATTTGACCAACTTCAAGTGCAAGAAACTATAATCATACTAACACATACCACAAAAGAGATGCTATTTTGTAGCTTGTACATGTTAAAAAAAATTTTTTAACTACATTTTCATGTTACTAAGAGACAGGATAAGAAGGACTGACCCTTTCTCTCATCTCATTTTGCCATAACTGAATTATAGCCTCAGAATATTTACTGAATATTTTTTCCTCTCTCAATTTCTACAGTCTTTTGTATAAAAGCACACATCTATAAATCACTGATCATCCTAATGTGACCCCTCAGTACCTTGGCGGGTTAGACCTACTTCCGCTTGAAGTAGTACCCAAATGCTAACATCCACTTCGGAGATGTGCCTGTTCCTCTCCACACTCACATCACTGTTGTGCTGGTGATGCCAGCGGGACTTCCAGAGCAGTGTTCCAACTGGTCTTCACCACTCTTCTGATCCTCCATCTTTATCTACGTTTTGAAGGCAACTACACAATAGAGGATTGCAGGGTTTTCTGTGTGTCTGTTGTCTGGGCAGATGAGAGACATGAAAAGGAAAAAGATGGGCCAGCTGATTTTTCCAGTATTCAAATTTTAAATTTCTTGGTTCTTAAAACTATATGAAGAGTCCTATTGACAGGAAGTATCACTGACAGTGGCACCAAAGGATATTTTGTAAAATATCCCATAAAACTGGAGTTGGAAAGGATCTGAGAAACAATTAGTTCAGCTTCCTCACTTCTTTAGCTGAGGTCACTGAAGCCCAATTGAGAAAAGAGCAAGTCACTCAACATGGTGATTGTCTCCATGACCCTGTCCTTTAAAGATTCATAGAAACCCCAACTTTCCCTTGATAAAGGGCACTCCCACCAATGACTTTACATCAGCAGTCCTCAGTGTCCTTGTGTTTGGCCTTAGCTCCCTTTAGGGAAGCTGGTAGCTAACACAGCACCTTGACCAGAGTGGACGCTTGATAAATATTTGTTGAATTGAATTAATTCTGTTGTTTATCCCTGCTATGCAATCTTTTCTTTTTCCTAAAGCTCCTCACTTGTAAGGGATGGCCTCTAGTTCAAGTATTTTGAGGTTTGCCGGCCAGTGCTGTATTTGTCATCTCGCTATACTTTATCTTTTCATATTGAAATTCTATCGTTGGAGTCCGTTCTTTTCCAGCTTTTCATTACACACAATTATTATTTGCCTCTCCCCAGGCACTACCAAACACATTACTATATATTGTTTCTGCCTTTTACAGGCCTGGAATTGCAAGTCCAAAGATTTTTTTTTTTCCAATTCTTAAAACAAAAACAGAGGCTAGGACCCTCAGTCAGATTTGCTAAGGCACACTAGAAGAAATGCAAAAATTCCGTATTCCTGCTTTAGTTGATACATAGGAAAACACTACTGATACACACACGTATTTTCTACATTTATGACTGCCTTATACATCTTGTTTTCTTTTAATTCCTTAAAAACATAAATATGAGTCACAATACCCAGAGCAAGTTTCATTTACAAAAAGCATAATTAAGAAATGGTGATTTGTAGGGAATTGGCACTTGGACATTGGTAATGCTTAGAAAACGTCTCTAGAACTTGGTGAGAATGCCATAACTAATTTTATATAAAGAGCTGTCGTGGTGTGGGGGAGGCTTGGTAGTGAACTGTCAGAGAGACGCATTTATTGGATGATATTTGTTGTGGATTTAATTTTTTTGTTAGTTCTGTTTGAATTTCCTGTTAAACTGCATTCTTAACATGACCTAAATTCTCGATATGCTAGAATTAACTTACCATCATCATTCACAGAAGAGTTAAAGTTACCATTCCCAACTGGGAGAATTTCTAAAAGTAGGCTAGATAGCAGGGCTTCCTACTCAAATCAATTTAATATTCGCAAGGCTTTTAAGAAAATATTTCAGATAATTCTCTGCTTTCCCACCACTAAACTTATTATGAGACTTAAAGGAGCTCTGAAACCGTGATTTCACTTCACGAGTTTCAGCCTTACTATCTCAGACCTCCATCTTACTATGGTGACAAAATAAATACACAGTAACCTTGGTCAGTGGTTAATGTTCAGGAAAACAAAGACCCAGCACAGCAGGATGGCCGTGTGCTCTAGCAATGCTTTCTTCTCCCGCTGGCCATTCAAATGGGCAAGGCTCAGGCTCACAGGTCTGTCTGACTTGTGGGAACAAAACTGGATGAATCATCTTGACTATGACAGCATCTGTGCTCCTGAATCTTTGGGCACAAAAACGTTCTTCAATACCTATAAAGTACATTGTAGTTTAAATTCACCTGCACATTAAGCGTGTAAGGGCTGACAGCTATCATTAGTTGACAGTGGAGGCGGGAATAAAAGGAAAGAAAAATTATTTCAGTCTTCCAGAAAATAAAAGCATACTTGCTTGCTTTTATGTAAGTATTCGATGATAAGTAAGGGTTAAATAGTCTTAGAGTCTCAGGTTCAGTATTCCTTCAGCAGCCATTTATTGAATACCTAATAATTTCCCTTTATTTCATTAATATATGTTTGTCCTATCAACAAGGATAAGGTGACTGAAACCTATTCTATTCCAAGCTTTGTGCCAGGTACTGGAAACAAAGAATAACATAGATTCCTTGCCTTTATGGATCACTTTTCTTGAGAATGTGAATTTCTAGGAAAATCAACTCCTACCCGCACCTACTGGATTTGAACAGAAATTATTCTCATTTCAAACAAGAAATATTTCACATAAAAAATGTTCTCAAGGGTTTTGAGCCCTGCCAATAATGCAGGAAGGTAGAGAAGAGAAAAAGAGCCAAATAGAAAAAAAAAAACTGTCCAGACAACATTTAATATAAGTGAAATGCAAAATTTTGATAAGGGATAACTAGTACTATGTTTACAAGAGTGGCAAGGGGGGGCTGGTTAATGGTCCCCCACAAAGTACCTGATATCTCTTGTTTGACATACGATAATGAGTACATTTCTTATCCTCTTTTACTAGAAAGTCACAAAGCAAGCCGCTAGACTCAAAAGAAAGCACAGCTCTTGATATCATGTGACATCTAATTTATGTTCTAATAGTAATACTATGTATTGGTAAAATGAATTCACTTACATATTTTCACATTATTGATAACACAGACAAGGGTTATTCGTGACCGCACACATACAAAATCCAGGTCCAAGGTGACAAACTTAGAATCTGCACATTAAAAAGGTAATTTGCCCAAATGTGTTTTCTATGTAGGCTATTAGCAAAACACCAAGTCTAAAAATACACAGTATTATAATTCCCCAAACTCCGAGATGCTACCCATAATCAGTTTTCCAAAAACAGTAGAAAGAAAACAAATTTGATGAAATAGAGGTGGTAGGTTTTTTAGAATTAATAATAATTTGGGCACACCCAGTGGTGCAGTGGTTAAGTTCGCACATTCTGCTTTGGCGGCCCAGGGTTTGCCAGTTTGGATCCCAGGTGTGGACCTACGCACCACTTGTCAAGCCATGCTGTGGCAGGTATCCCACATATAAAGTAGAGGAAGATGGGCATGGATGTTAGCTCAGGGCCAGTCTTCCTCAGCAAAAAGAGGAGGATTGGTGGCAGATGTTAGCTCAGGGTTAATCTTCCTCAAAAAAACAAAAGAAAAGCATTAATAATAATTTGCTTGCTGAACATAGATAGCATGGAAGGGATTTTCCAAGCCCTTGGTTTATAACAGCAACAACAAAATGTCCAGCTGAAAGCATGAAGGCAATAAACATTAATGAAGGGGCAGGGGAAGCCCAACAAGCAACACACATGTGGTGCTAGCAGGTGGGGCAGAGATCTTGAGAGAGTGCGCAGGTGCTAACCTTGGGTAAGGAAAGTGCCAGAATAACTTTCCCCTTGCCAACTCTTCAACCCATTTGATGTTTCCATGAGGAATCTCATGTGCCTTCAGTGCAACAGAGGAAGAGCTATGCCTTCCTCACTTGACAAAGTCCTCTGGGGGAGCCCACTGAATTTCAAAGAGCATGAGAAACCACTTAGCAAAGAAAAAAACAACTAAAGTTAGAAAGTCCTATTACTATTGAGACTAAACCTACATGTAGAAGGGAATCTTAGTAGTCATCCAGTCCAAATTCAATGTCAGAGTCCCTTTCATAGCATCTGGGATGGATGGTTATTTGAACCTTTGGGCATTTACAGTAAAAGAAAATTTTACTACTTGAGTCTATTCCTCTTTAGAACAACTCTTACCAGAAAATTCTTTCTTATATTGAAGCAAACACGTGTCATCTATAAGGTTCCTCTTTGTTCCTATTTTTGCCCTTTGAAGCTACATAGAATAAGTCTAATTCTTCTCCCTTTTTATAGCTCAACAGAAATTCCAAGGAAGCTATTGTATCATTCCCTCCTTTTTTACACTCCCTTTCCAGCTATACCTTCTGTTCTTCAGGGGAACTATTCTCCTGTTCCTTATATAATGAGATCCTTCACGATCCTGGCCACCTGCCTCTGGATACAATTTATTAATGTCTCTCTTAAAACATGGTACCCAAAGTTGAGGCTAATCCTCCATCCAGATGTGGACTGACCAATGCAGCATGCAGGGCTCCCTGGACTTCTATTAGCACAGGTTGAATGCATTAGCCTTGTGAATAGCCACAATAGACTCCTGATTCAAAATCGAACTCGTATTTCCCTAACAAAACATTTCCACATGAACTGCTGTGAAACCAGGACTTTCCAACCCCCTTCCCATCAACACACACACCTAAACACATACATCCACAAACACACACACAGGTATCTCACTCTGTACATAGAGGGTTGCATTTAAGAAATTGAGAATATAGAGTTTCCCATTAATGCCTATGCAATTTCATCCTTTTAGTTTCAGTCTTATGTTCAGGTATTTCAAAAAATTGTAATGATTTCTATATCCTAGAGTCAGTATATGGTTAGAATTCAATGATTATTCATTGAATAAACTAATCCTGAATCTGCCAGTCAACAGACTGGATATACTGTCTGTTTGTGTGTAATTTATAAATCTGATAAGCTTGCTTTCTGTCCCCTTAGTCTGTTCTTCATGGGAGAAATAGAAAGGCAAATAGAAGCTGCCTTTAAATTGCTGAGCAGGTATCCCCTTTGGAACAGCCAATGTAGCTCCTTGTATGGTAAAAAAAAGAAAAAAAGCAAAAAACACCAAAGTACAAATAAGAAGCAGAGGTACAGAATGTGAGCAGGAACGATGAAGGGAAAGAAGGTTGAGTGTCCCAGACCCCTGGTATCAGGAGTCAGTGTTCCCAATATTAGAAAAATATGGCTTTCTCCCATCCCTACCCCAGAATCATCTGTCTTTTAGATCTATTATAAAACTATGATTACCAAACTCTGAATTTTGGGGAAAAGCTCATACAAGTTTAGTTTTGGAACAGCTTTTAAAATGATCTTTTCAGCTTATATTTCTTGTAAAGTTTAAGTTAGAGAGACATGCAACTGTCTATTGACTAGGAGGTATAAAAAGAGCTTCCAAATGCCCCTGGCAAATGCCTGAGGTATAATATATATATATATATAATCAGTTTGTTTCATGAATCAGAAATGGCCAATATTTTTCAGTGTGAATTTGGGAATTCACTAAGACTGAAGCTGTCTCCTGAATTGAATATAATCTCACAGTTAAGGTCCCTTTTCCCAGAATGAAGAAAAATAAGCTCAACTTTGCTTTCCCTTCAACAGTCACCCTTTGCATACAGTGGGGCTAATGCAGAATCCAAAGTATCCTACTGTGCCTTTTTTCCCTTGTCTATTGTGGTTCAGGGTGGCGAACCCTGAGGCTGAAACCTTAGAGAGACGGAAAAAGTGTTTCAATCAAAACAATCTAGAACCGGAAGAAGTTGAAAACTTCTGTTGCATAGTGTTAATGTTTAAAGAATGGAGACACCTACAAAAGGCCTAGTGGACCCAAAGAGGAACTCTGTACCTTCTCTAGAAGGAGTGGCAGAGATGGATTCTTACTTAATTAACTTCTCAAGACTGTGTTTTCCAGAAAATCATGTAAGTGACAGATAACATCAGCAGGAAATTGTGCCAACACTCATGTGGGAGGTTCTTTTCCTGACTCTGACGGTCACAACAAACCACAGGCAAGTGCTGTCAGATAAGCAGAGTGCAGAGAAGGCTTAATTATCCAATGAGCTCCAAAAGTCAGGTGAACCAGGTGCTTCGGGCATGATCGGAGTGCCTCCAAAGCAACCACCTCAGGGTTTCCTGTTAAAATACAGGGAACTACAAACAGGAAGGCCTAACACACTGCTCCCAACACGGAGTAGCCATGGTAGGCACTGACGTGAGCTTCCGCTGTTCAGAAAGACATCCTCTCACGATTCTGGGGTCAGGGCCCCCTGCAGTAGGGCTTCGTCACTGGACCCCACACTCCTTGGGATTTTCCATTTCATCTCCTTCAAAGTCTGGCTTCAAACTCTTTTTTTGCTCAATTTCCACCTGCCAAGAATAGAAGTTGGAGAGAAATATCAGACAGAAGAGAAAAAACCTTCCAACAAATAAATAAACCTCTAGGTTCTTTGAGATTCCCTGTAATTTTTGCTAATATTTTAGGCACACTGGAGCTACTGGCCCTGTGTATATTATTAATGTCTCTTTGCACATGCTTCTTGCTTGGTCTGGAATTCCCTTCCCCTCACAGTCTACCTGGAAAATTCCCATTCTTTGCCTTGCACAGTTGCTCACAGGTCAGCACGTCTGTGAAGCTATTCTCGACTCATTAGGTAGAGTTACGTGCTCCCCTGTGCATTGTGCATAGTCCCACTGTACCTTGTACACATGCCCAGAACCACTATACCACAGGCTCCACAGGACAGGGGCAGGCCCTTGTTCACTCCTGTATGCCAGTAATGCAGGCATACAGCAGGCAATCACAGAATTTATCAAATGAATGAATTCCTTTGCAATTGGCTGTTTATACTCTCCATTACTTTATCTCTTTAAAGGTCTCCAAATTGACAAGTATTATACTGCTTACCATTCTACCCATATCTTCTACAAAATACTGCAGCTGTAATTATAAATGGATTAATAAATTAATCTTGCCTTGAAAGTGACACACTTCAACTGAAGCCTTTGATAAGATAGGCCGAGAACCCTTCGAGTTAGGGAGTTTAATAATTAAAGATCCTCTTAACACCACTTTGGATATTTATGATGAGGGATACAATTCAAGACAGAACAACTGACTAGGGTCATGTTTGAGGAAAGTGCTATTTCTTTTCTGGCCACAAGATGGAGTATTTGTTCTTTTTGGTAGTTAAATGTTTTAGATCCCACAACTAAGGAAACATTTAAGGAACAATTAATAACCATGTAAATCTAAGGATATTATTATGAATAGAAAATTATTAAACCACTTTGCAAAATCCTTCTTCAATAACCCCATTTTCCATCTTTGGCATTTAATCTCCTCCTATTGAATTTCTAACTCCTTAGGATATAATCACATAAAGTCAGAATTCTTCCTCCTTCTGCAGCCCTGGACCCATTACCATTACAGAAGCTTGTCTGGCTTTTGACTTATGTCCTATTACAACCCAGCGACCAGGTCATCTGTGTCCTAACTTTACTCAGATCCACTTCGACTCCCGTAGCTGAAATACCTTTGTGTTAGCACTTTCCTGACACTCCCCTCCACCTCCAAGTTCACTACTCTGTAACATAAGTTATACTGTGAATGAGTAACAGTAATCCCTTTACCCCAGGACTCTCTTGTCGTTGTTTATGACCAAAAGACATTATATTCTTTTCTCTGCCTCTTTATTTTTTCCCCAACCTTTCTCTCGCCCTCTAGAGAGATTATTCATTTAAATCAGAGGAGACTCACGCACAGCTCTGCAGGCTGAACCTCCCCCTAAGGTGGTAAGAGAACACCTTGCACCCGTGGCCAGTGCTGCCACAAGGAATGAGCGGGGGAGGGGAGAAGGGTGAGCAAATGGACCGGGTAGCATTAGCCAGATGCCGCCGGAGGCTACCTTGTAGCTGTAGTGTGCGGAATAATTGACCCACTTCCTGACATCGGTCTTGTCTTCCACAGAGATGGATCGTACAGCAGCTTTGGAGGCAGAAGTTGTGGGCATGCTGAACTCGACATTCACGTGATTGGCAAATCTGGAAGGCACTTCCCGGTCAGAGCCAAGTTCAAGGTGGCAGAAGAAACAGTGTGGATGACCAGAAGCTATAAAAGAAAGACAAAGAATCTAGAGATCAGGTTCTTTGGGGAAGAAGTGGAAGAAGAGCCACCTCAATAACAAGGGAGGCCCGGCAGTCTTGCAGAAGTCCAGCGCTGCGCAAAGGATTAGCCTCAGCAGAAATCACTGCGTGTGCCCCAGACCCTTTGATATAAGACTCTCTGGTTACAGTAGCCTGGTATCCTAGCAATAAAACCCAGGGTCTGAGAAATCGAGGTCACCCTGCCCACTTAGGTCAGAGTGATATGTGAACACAGCACAAATACTAAGAAACAGGGACTGTACACTGGCCGAGAGGAATGAAAGGGATCAGATCTGAGTACCTAATAAAACATCAGTTACAGCCACCTGCAGCAAAATCATCGATTTCCTTTGAAAGATGAACTAAATTTTCTTAATAGCATTTCATATTTAAAAAAAAATGCTTTGGGCAGTTTTTGTGGGTGAATGGCATATAGAAATGACAAAGCCCTTATAAACAGCACATGTGTCTTTGGGAAGCATATGGTACACTGGAGAGAACAGCCTAACAGGACCCCTGGGTTTGACTTCCAGCTCTCCTGCTAAGTGGCAGAGACCCCATACCCAGGTTCTTTGTTCTCTCCAGGCCTCAATTCCTCATCTTCGAAGTGGAGAGTGGGGGAGCGGGTGGTGGGAAAGGGTAGCGTACCAATGCCGGGCACCGTCCCTTCCTGCTCTTTAATTCCATAAGTCTACGTTAGTCTTACTGTACTTGGATGGCAAACTTAAGGTCTAATTTTCATTTGAGGATTGTTATTAGATATTTGAGGGAAAAGAATTAGTTCTGTGACTATAACCATTGAAACAGTGTCATCGTCATCAGTCAGAGGGAGCAGGAAACGGCTGTGGAGCACTCTGTGCCAGGTACTGTGTTAAAGCTTTACACAGATTCTCCCACCGCATCTTAACAATGCCGTGAGGTCATAATTATCCCATTCTACAGATGAGGAAACCAAGGCATCAGGAGGTAAAGTGAATGCCCAAGGTCATAGCTAGAAACTGGCAGAGCTAAGAACTGAACACAGCAGTCTGACTCCAAAGTGTTGCTAACCACTTTGTCTGAGTCACAACCTCATGATCCCCAAACCTCAAGACCAGGTTCGCAGGGTGACAGGAGTGCAGAGGAAAGCTGTGTAAGAGCAGTGTAAGCTGAAGAACCTCCATGTAGCAACTTGCTATGGATAAACGATGTGACACGGCTTTCACTTCATTATGTAACTGCAACAGCCCTTAGTTATCTGAGTTCTCCCAAATAAACAGTTCCAATTTTCTTTCTTGGTCTGGGCAGGACTTTTTAATCTCAGAGAGTGAGGACATACACACCCGCTCTCCAAGGAAAACATTACAGAGTGAAGTATTTGTTTTGTTCTCTTGCACAATGGTTATTTTTAAAGAGTAATACTTTGGGAAATTAATTGAAAAATTTGCACTGGATTTTAGGAAAGGAATTTAAAGAAGATACATGTAATAGTAAAAAGCACATTATTGAAAAAGAATCCATTCAATTTTTTAAAATTGTGTACCACAGAGGTAATTATAGAGCTATCATTTATTGAGGATTTATTACAGGCCAGAGACTGTGCTAAACACTTAAAAGCATTATCTAATTTCATTCTTAATGAGCTAGGTATTAATAATGCTATTTTACAGATGAGGAAAAAAGATGCCCTGAGAGGTTTAAGTAAATAGCCTGAGGCCACACACACCCATTAAATTGTTAACACTGGGAATAAAACTTTGCTCTAATGACTCCCAATTATGTCCTAAACTCCTCTCAATATATTGTTACAGGTTTAGAGCACTACAAAGTATATAGAAGAGTTTCTTAATTTAATTTAATAGCAACTTGAGCAACGGTTTTATCTAATTACAATTATTTATATTGTTGGAATATTGAGAAATCATTACTTTCCGCAAAACCGATTTCCTCCTCTCACCCCACAAAGCATATTCACAGCAAACTCGATGAAAGCAACATTCCTTCCTGATTCCTAGCATCAACTAATGGATGTGTAGGGCTGGTGGACGGATAGGGAGGTGCAATTCTGAAAGCTAGTATAGTTTAATGCATGGTCATGAACTAATGAGCCCACGCATTATGTCATCTTTCTTGATGAAGTTGAGAAAATTTAACATGAAAATTCAGATTTCTCTTTTCCATTAAAGGGAGGTCATCCTGGGATTGTTTTCTCTCTACCTGGTCTAAAGAGAACTGGAATTCCAGGAAAGTTACCTATGCAGGACAGAATGTTTTGTTTGTTGGCAGATGATCTGGGAAAGCAGCAGGAATTGTTCTGGTGCCTTCCAGGATTAAGAAAAACTCTTGGGATTAGAGCAGTAGGGGTCCTGAGAGAGCGCAGATAGAGGGGGCTGCACATACACAGGGCTGAGCTGGGCCTTGCTGGTGGGAGCCATATTGGAATCCAATGGCAGCTTGTTAGCCGTTTGGTGGTTGGGATTGGGATGAGCCTGCTGTGGCTGCAGGCTTGGGATGCTGGCAAAGCCAGGGTGCTGACCTGCGGGCCCATGCTGCCTGCAGTCTGACTGCCCTGCCTGCTGGGGGCCAGGGATGCAGGGCCACTGCAGGTGGGAACAGATATGCCAAGATTCAGGCTTCCTTCACCGTAAATGGAGGTGTGAGAATTATGAAAAATAACCTATAAAAGGCACCTACCTTCCCAAGGCTGTCTGAAGACCAACAGAGAAGAGCTCAGAAAAGGGACGATTACTAACAGATCATCGTCAGTTGTGTGGTTTCAATGGATGGAGCACTGGATGGGGAGGGCAGGAGCTGAGCACAGTGAACACCAGCAATGGTAAGAACTTGCAGTCTGACAAGAATTCAGGGCCTGTATACCTCAAGTTTCCAGGAAAGGGTGCTATCAATTTCCTGAACTGATACAGAAATATACCACCAGTCAGAAGTGGTATAAGAAGCACTTCTTAGAGGTTTCACTTCTAAAAATATATAACCATGCAGCAAAAGCAGCAATTGAGGGGGGACGTTTAAGTGAGAAGCATTCCCCAATAGCCTTACGCCGTCTTGTATTTCAAACATCTTTCACAAATAAGGTCCCAGTGGTCTGGAAATACATATGTAATATATAAGCTGCATTTCCTTGGCCTTGAGCCTACTGAACACTACCCTGCCGCGAAGCATTAAAGGAAGTGTTTGCTGAAGGCCTATTTTTTCCCTGTCCTGCATCCATTCCCTCTTCTTGTGGCAACAATCTTTTTTTTCCCTTTGGTAAATAATGTTCCCCAGCACTGCATGGCATCTTGGTGGTCATGTCAGTCAAAATGCGCTCTCCTCCCCTTGACTCTTGAGCCAAGTGGCACAAGGACAGAAAATGGCTTGTGATGATTGGCCCCAGTGGCTGCAGCAGAGACATCCACAGCCCCTGCTATCACGAGCTCTCCTTTCCGAAGCCTGCTTGTTCAATCTTTCCCTCCATTCTGAGCTACCTGTATCCTTCCAACAACTTCCTCTTTCTTTTCTTTTTTTGCTTACAGTAGCCAGTCAGTCTTTGCTGCTTATAACCCAAAACCCCTCATACAGTACTTCTAAATATTTGACAGAAAGAACTTTGAAACAAATGAGATATGTGTGTACACACTGAGAAAACCGCAAATCTCTGTTCTCACAGTGGAAATTATTTCATGCTGTGTCTATTTGGTGTCATCCACTAAGGGGCAGCTGTGGGATTGTGAAAAGACCCCTGGAGGTAGCTTTGTGACTTCAGATGAGTCATGTCACTCCCAGTCCTTAATTTTCTCATCTGTAGAATGAAGAGGTTTGACTGTTATCCCCAAGGTCCCTTCCAGCTTGAAAATCCAATAATTCCATAATGAAGTTATCTGAATCCATGCTTACAACACTGACGAGCTAAAAAATTCCAGTAAACATAAGCCTGAGGCCTTGTCTTCTCTGATGTCAAGTCTCTAGCAGGTTAAACAGTAATTTTCTCCCTATCGCCTTGGGTCTCTTTCCAAGGGCTTCTGTGCCAAACGAGAATTCAGGGTCTCTCTCTTCCTCCGTCAGTTCAGATGGGCCCCATGGCCGAGGTAGAAATCACAGCTCCAACACCAGGAGAATACAGTGCTGATTTCAGGGGAAATGAATAAGCAAGCACAGAGAGGAAGACTTTGTTTTAAAAATTCTGTCAGTTTAGAAATAGGGGGTGGCAAATCCAGCCTCAAACACAGAGGTCCAATTGTCTCTTCAGTTTGCATGGCTACACCCAGTGTCTGATACAGAACGCCCTGGTGCGTGTCCACTGCCTGGAATGCCTAGGGAGTTGACCAGATCGCATTGCCTCTTGCCATCACATCATGCTACACTCAGGGTATGACAACACAGCCACTCCACACTCAGAACAGGAAATCAAGGCTCTGAATACATTAGGATTTAATAGTAAGAATGGAAAGAAGAATAGCTGCAGAAGAGAAAGACATTCCAGTCAAGAGTTTTTCCAAACCTTATTCTTTTTGCTCGGCTAGGATATTCACTTTTGTTAACAGATGGGCCAAGTTTATTATAAACGAGAAGTGGTTTAAAGCATCACAGGATCATGCGCTCATTGCCTGCCACTGGGGTCACCCAGACTTATTCTAAGAAATAAGGCTATTAGAACTGGTTTGATTACTCCCTAGTTTTGTCATTTCATACTAAATCTCACTGGATCCATAAGGAAAATCATTGCCTTCTGGGCTCACTCAAGTGCAAAACACCCCTGAGAGTTGTGAGCAGGCCGGTTAGAGCCAGTAAGCTTGCTTTCTTTGTTTAAATCGAACATTCCTTCCTCTACTTTTTGTCTGATAGAATTTCAAGGCTTTTAGACCTTCATACCCTGACTAGATATTCAGTCTGATCGGAAGCCACTTCTCCTCCTCCCTGTCCCCAGATCCCAGCTCGAGCTTGTGCTGTTATGACTGACAGGCCTTGCAGAGGGTAGCTGAAATCATAAATCTAACTCCTAGCCTGTACCGGTCCCGTGACTGGCCATAAACTGGTCCTCCTACCTATACTCAGGGCACAGTTGGAAAGCTCTCCCTTCAGGACACAGAAGCCTTCTAGGAACTGGAAATGCATAACTTCCAGCAGCACTGATAATACTTTAATGAGTCAGAAAAGAATACAAATTCATAAGCTGCCCTGGAAATCTGCTTAGCAGCTCAGCCGAGAAGAATGCATAGTTCTATGGAAGAATTGTGATACTAAGAGCGTAAAAAGATGGAGTGAACTGCGTCGTTCATGTTTGTTACTTACCTTGCTCAAATGTTTTTGCTTTTCTGGTCCCACTCCCCCTCCATCACCATTCCACACATACAACCAAACCCAGCAGTTCACAGGGGAATAGAATGTGGCGCTTTGACCCCAGCTCTCTCACAACCATGTGGTGGTTTTCACAGATGAGAAACCTCTACCTACCTGAGTTTTTGTCAGGCAGTCGGTTTATCCTCCACACAATGGAGTTGAAGGCATGCTCATACTTGGCAGTTCCCAGAGTTACTCTCATGACAGGCTCAGAGCCAGATACACTAGTTGAGCCAAAACTTGCCCCCCGGTTCACTTTGGCTTTCAAGGACTTTTCCCCTAGGACACTTTCCCTGCGGAAGTTTTTCACCCACTCACTGGGCACAGGATAACGAACCATCACATTCTCACAGGGAACCTGAGTGAGAGGGTCACGGTTAGAGGAGAAGCCGGTTGACATCCTAAGCCAGCTCTGCACCTCCACCTCTGCCCCATTGATGCTTGCTGCCGTCCTGAGTGTGAAAGGCAAGGTCTTCTCAGCAAACACTGTCCTGAACCGCATTAGCTCGAATCGGCATGCGTCCAAAGGGTTGAACAGAATAATCCGTGAGCTGTTGAATACATCCTCATCCACACACCCATGAAAATGGCACTCATGGAGCTTGATCCACTTTGCGGTGGTGGTAGGCATGATGTCTTGCCGGGAAACTATTTCATTCCCTTTGACAAGGACATCATTGAGGCCCAAGCGGCACTCAGCAAGCCCAGAGAGGAAACTCAGAATGTGGATCCGTGTCAAGACATGGTGCTGGAGAATCTGATTGTCTCCTTTGCTCACAATGGCAGAGAATTCATCTCTGACATCCACTGTAATCTCCTCTTCAAGGTAGTTCAAGCCAACTGTGCTCAAGTCCATTGACAACACTGGCAGATCCATGAGATGGTCCTGAACTGCACGGATGAAACTCAGGAAGTCATCGTAATTGGTGGTGCCCAGCTTAATCACTTGTTCCCTCTCTGCTATGTGGGCCACAGCAGGTTTAGGCTGGTATTTCTTCTTCTCCTTGTACGTGACACGGTCTATCCGCAAGCTGTGGATCCTGCCATTCTCATCATAGTTTTGGAGCCGGGGTTCTGAAATCTCATGGCAGATCTCCAGCTTGAACTCGCGGAATGGTTTTTCTAGGCCTTGCTCATAATACAGCTGCAGGTAACCACTGTCTGTCAGTTTGATGTATATGGGTCCCCAGTGCCTGGAGGACATGATGTTTTTCTTCTCAGGGATCCTCAGCATCATTGGCCATCCATCTCTGGGCTGGGACAGTGCTGAACCAGGCAGGTGGTCATCTAGCTCAATCCAGGCTATTGGGTCATCATCAGGTAGTGTTGCATTGCCTAAGCGATCAGGATCATCAATTTGGAGTTTTTTGAGTTTTTCAACGGCATCAGAGTGTGACTGGTTTTTGCTTGAATCATCAAAACTGATGGCATCCTGGTAGACAACAACGAGGGAATCTCTTTGGCTTTTGCCTGTGATACCGGAAATGGAACTGTTTTGGGAGCGCCTCTCCTGCTCTTCAAAGAAAGCGCTGAAAGGGTTGATAGGTGAGGGCTGCACATCCTGTAGAGTCTCATTGAGAAAAGGATTAGTTGCCCTCCAAGGTGGAGCCTCGCTTCTGGAAGGCGGGTGGTTTAAGGAGGAAATGTCCAGCTTCTGAACTTTGGAGAGGTTCATCAGAGTGCTCTTGGGACGTTCCCTCTTCTTAAATGACCCAGTTGAATTATAAGGTGCATCTGGGGTCACAGATGCAATGGGTGGTGTACTCGGCTTCAGAGGAGAGGCGATTGGTGGCAAAGGGCAGCTGACTTCATTGTCATCAAATGTGACCCAGCTGGGGAAACGAGCAGAGGTCACTGGAGTGGCAGGGTGTCCGTTCATGGCTGGACTGCTGGCCTCCCAGTTGATGGCCTCCATCTCTACCTCTTCATCTTCCTGGAGTGAGGAAGAATTGTCTAAAAGGAAAAGGAGAACACATGAGGGGCTGCTGTGCAGGGTCTCTAGAGGTATGGGAGACTGAAGTATGGGAATGAGGGATGACTAAAATTTTATCTGGAATCCAGTAAATTCCAAAGCACCTCATTACCTATCTTAAGTGCTTAGTCTGGGCATAGTTCTCATAATTTTGTAATAAGCACATCAGAGGGGCCATACTTTAAATGCAGTAAGAATACAAATGGGTCTGTCAATACAGAAGCACTGGTAGGACCAAAGTCCTTTACAATTTAACTCTTATACATTCTCCCTTTATTTTATAGAAGTTTCTGGAATAGATATTTTCTTTACTTAGCTCTAAAGTATGTATTATTAATTTTTAAACATTGAAAACTACCTCCTACATAAAATGATAGAAAGCTGATCTCATTAAACAAAACAAGTTATCTGCTCTAAGTGATAATATGATTGCAAATAATGTAATTGGAGAGCCTTTTATGCAAATGTGATCAATAAATATTAAAGACAAAATGTTAACATCTTTAATATGAAATAAGTTCATACAAGTGAATAAGAAAAACATGAAAACTCCAATAGAAATACAGGCAAAGGACATATTCAGACAACTCAGGAAACAGAAACTAAAAATGTCTAATAAGCATGTGAAATCTCACTAATCTAAGCTCACTAGTAATAAAAATGCAAATTAAAGAAGAAAAATTCAGTGAAGATCTTAAAAGTTTTTCATATTTAATGAGGGTAAGGATGCCATCATATGAACAGTTAATAGACCCTTAATGGGTCTGTAAGTTGCTACAAATTCTCTGAAAGTGATTTGGCAATTTGTAGTAAGGGTCTTACCAATGTTCATAAACAATAACTTGGTAACTTTACCCTAAGGAAATAAATCCAAATTGTGAATCAAGTTTTGGGTGAATGTTAAGAAATTGAGCCACACAATGGAATAATACTCAGCCAGTCAAACGTTTACAAGTATGTAGTAACATGAGAAAATGCTCACGATATAATCTTTTCTTTGTTCTCTAAAATACTTTTCCATCTTGGGGTTTATTTATTTTATAGTAAAAAAAAAAAAAGAGGTTATTACTAATAAAACTCCACCCCAGCAGGACCTTCAAGGAAAGAGACAGAGGACTTGAGTTTCAATGTGGCAAAGATCCAAATCTTTTCAGTAGCATAAAGACCCTGGGTGTCTGCTGGGGTTGTAGGAAGGAAGGGGAAAATTAAACCTTTAGCAACGAGGAGTGGATTCTGATGAAGGTACAGCACAGAAAACAAATCAGTATCTGGCATATAGTAAATACTCATTAAAGGTTTGTTGACTGAATGAGTGAGAAAAGAAACTTTGCTTTGGACCAGCTTCTATTCTCTCTGTCCCTGGAGGATTGTGTTTGGCCATCTCTGCCACCATTCCACCCACTGTTTCTAATGACAGTAATTTGGAATCAAAGAGAAACAGATACTCAAATAGTTGAGTTTTCTGACCATCTTTTTTAAAGATTGGCACCTGAGCTAACAACTGTTGCCAATCTTCTTCTTCTGCTTTTTTTTTTCTGCTTTTTTCTCCCCAAATCCCCCCAGTACATAGTTGTATATTTTAGTTGTGGGCCTTCTAGTTGTGGCACATGGGACGCCACCACAGCGTGGCCTGATGAGTGGTGCCATGTCCACGCCAGGATCCGAACCAGCGAAACCCTGGGCCGCCGCAGAGGAGCAGGCGAACTTAACCACTCGGCCACAGGGCCGGCCCCTCTGACCATCTTGCTAAACCTTCGTGAGTATCCTATCCAACTACACCAAATCAGCAACGTCACACACAATTGCAAATGTAATTACAAGTGGATGGGATGGCTGGCTTGTCATCCATCTTTCCAAATATAGGTATTCAAACAAATAGTGATTCCCTCTCCTGAAAACGTCAGTTTGAAAATGCAGGCTAAGTACACGAGCATGTGTACATATCCACACTCACCCCAGAAATAGAATGAGCAAAAAGTATTTTCTCTATATACAGCACCACAAAAGGATTTCAAAGCACTTTAAAATTAAAGACAACACCCTTCTTCAAATTAATCATTAACCTATTTTTGTAGATGCATAAGCGATTTATTTTCTGGAAAATGAAGGGAAAAGGGTCAGGAGAAAACCCTAGATTTTGGGATTTATATTTTATTTATTACTACTAGTATCATTATAATAAAGGCTAAAGGGAACAATGTGGCTCTGAGTAAAATATAATCACTTCCTTGGAACGGTAACAGATCCTCCCTAGAAAACTGGGAAACGGCTGTATCCAAAATGCATCAATTCGAATGAAGTCCCTCTATGGAGCTTGTGTAATGTAGTGTTTCCACCCAAAGAGTCTGGTTCTGACCCACCCCTGTATAAGGAATATCCTTTTTGCCTCGGAGCTCATTACCACTCCCTGGTTTAAAACATGCCCAACCCCTTTTCCTTCGGAGGGTGGCTTTCTGCCAAAGCTGTTTATTCCTGCCGCCAAAGGATTCCCTTCTGTTGGGAATCTTGTCCCCAAAATAGCATTTCTCATTTTCCTCTCCAAAGCCAAAAAGTAAATGAAAAAAAGGCCTTTGTTTCCACTGAACATCGTTTTCTTACAATAAATTCCTTTTTAACCAAGTTATTTAAAATCACACCAAGTCCTAGACAGTTTTGAAGCATTAGACTTACAACACAATTTAAATGAAGTGTCTTTAAATTTGGAGGGAAATTAAATTAATTTCTACAGGTTCTGTAATCTCTTTGATAGCCATTAAAAAGTACCAGAAGACTTTTTTTACAAAATTCTCTCTCCTTCAGCAGAAAAGAGATTTTCAAAACAGGCTGTAATCATGGGGTCTCCCTTGATTACAACCTGTTTTTAAAAAATCCATCCTTTGGGACATTAGTGGGGTATAGGTCAAACTTCTTGTTTCTCTAGAAAATCATTTATAAAGAAAAAAATCTTAATAAGGATACTTTTACAGATGAAAAGCAAAAGCGGTCCACAGTTCACATGAAAATAAAGCATTTCCTGAGGTGAGCTCATGGACTGCCAAATACTACTTTTAAAACTTATCACTTATTAACATTGACTTTCCTATTTGTGAGCTCTTAATTGTACTTCATTTATCATTGACTGAAAGACATCTTCAATTGTTTTTACAAAGGTTAGGTCATGTATTTCCTGATCCTCTTTTTATTAAAGGATGTCCTTTGGTTCTTTCACATGTGAAAAACAACTTATCTGTACGTAAAATTTCTGGGGGAAAATATTTGCATCATATATGACAAAAACTTGATGTCCTTAACATGTAAAGACAGTGTATCCTTAATAAGAATGGATATACTCACACACACACACAAAATAAGATGCAAACAGATGATTCACTAATGAAGAAACATAAACGTCTAATAACTATTTGGAAAAAAGAGTTTAAGCTTTTAAAACAATAAATACAATTCTCCCTGTGTCAGAGAGACAAACATTTAGAAATAATAATAATAATTATTGGTGATATGGGGAAATTTACACTCTGATGGAAATGTTAAAAAACATCTTTCTGGAGAGAAATTTGAAAATTTACACTCAAAAACATGATCCAAGAATTTTACTTACAGGAGTTTATTCTAAGGAAAGAACAACACAGGCATGCAATGATGTATACAGTGGTATGTTTATCAGAGCAATGTTTGTATCACAGAAAAATTGGAAACAATCTAAATGCCCAATAATGGAAGATTGGTTATAGCAATTGTTATACCTTTAAAATGGAATCCCATGCACCATCAAGACCATGCTATTGATGCATGCTTATCCACATGGAAGCTGATCGTGATATACACTGTTGAGTAAATAATAACAGGAGCCTACAATCTGGAGTCACATTGCCTGGGCTTCAATTCTGTATCTGCAACTTATTAGCTATGTGACTTTGGGCAACTTGTTTAATTTCTCTACATCTCAGTTTTCCTATCTATGAAATCAGGAAAATATTAAATCCTACCTGACAGGGTTGTTGGGAAAATCTAATATAGATGTTAGTAGAATTGCACCTGGCAAATAATAAATGTCAGTAGATGTTAGCTGCTATTATTACTACTAGAATGATACATTTTCGTGATATAAAGTACATATGTATTAAGCTTTGGAATATGTTTCATAATGTTTTAATGTGAAAACATATGTCTCATGTGGGATAAGAGGGGATTTTAAAACTTTTAAATCTGTATTCTTTCTTTAAAAAACGCTATACTGCTTACAAAATAAAGAAATAATAAAAGGTCAACATATCTTTATTACTTCTACTCATTAACCTTTGAGAAAGAAAACAAACAGCTTAGCTGGAGTCCATGTCAATAAAGCAGCAATTAAACCTTTCCTAGGACACTCAGGACTCATGCGGCTGGTGCTGGAAACAATGAGGGGAAAAAGAAATGGCCGGCAAATTTCTCCAGTAAAAAATAGACAAAAACTAAGAATCTTCAGAACAAAATTAACCATCATCCACAATTCCATTTTATTGACTTATTAAACTAAAACCAAACCTAAAAATCCAGCAGTATTTTAATTCTTCTCTCTTCCACTTGCTCCTTCCACCTCCCGATTGCTCTTACTATGAGTTGGGCTGCTGCCAAACAGAAGACATGGATAAAGATTAGGTTCCCATCCTACACCACAGGGAGAATTTCCAGTACCTAAGAGCTTCCTCGTATCTTTACTGATGCAAACTCAAGAGAAATGGTAGATTTCTGTTAACGTTAGGCCACAATCTATTTTATGTTCCCAAAAAAGTAAATTAAATGATGACAATGGTAATCAAAGCCACCAAACTGAAAAAAAATAAGAACTATGGGGAAAAAATTAACAGTTTGTTACGGGATATTTTGAATACACAGATACTCTGCCATCTCCTTCTCTCATTTGTTAACCTAATTTGTTAATGTAATGACAAATGCAAAAAACTTACTGAGAGCTGTTCACTGGAATTTATGAGCAGTG